GAAAAAGATCATCACCTTCCTCCCATTTTCTTGAAGAAGATAAATTTAGCCGGCGTCAACCTTTTACTCCTCTTGCATCTCAGGAGTTATCTAGTAGCGTACGTGCCAACATGCAGGAGGAATTCAGAGGTAATTTTACTTTTGGCTTTCCAATCCCCTTCTATAAAAGGAGAGCAATGGAGAAGAAAAAGAATATGTGTGGCTTTCCAATCACATATTCTTTGTCCTCTGAATATTGTCTCTAAAATTAAGCTAAGGTTAGGTTGTACTATTACCAAGGGTTTTTCAGAAATGGCCTCTCTACCCCGCAAAGGTAGGTGGAAGGTCTGTGTAGACCCCATATTTGTGGGATCACATTGGGTATGTTGTTGTTGGTTCGATTGTACTATTATTATTGTTTTATTTGGTGAACAGACCCCTCCACAACCCTTTACCCAGGGGACAATAGAGATTTATGCCCACTTTCCCCCTTATGACGAACTCGAAACCTCTTAGTTGAAAATGGAAGGCTCTCCCGACTAGAGCAACCTCCCTTGTTGGTCACAATTGTATTATTTCATCTGACAGAAATTATGTCCTCTGATTCATCATCAGCTGCAGAAAAACATTTGCAAACCTCTTCCTCAATGGCTCTTAAGCGTCTTAATTCAGAGCGTCACAAGTCTTTTAATGAGAAGGAGCTGAAAAATGCTCCACCTTCAGATCATCTCAAGTCGTTCAATGATAAAGAGTTCGCAAATCCTATGAAACAGAGCAGTTCAGTTAAGGTAGATCACTATCCATTAGCTGATTTGCAGAATGCAACTGGTAACTTTGCAAGTTCTCGCCTTCTTGGTGAGGGATCAATTGGTCGAGTATACATGGCAAAATATCCAGATGGCAAGGTAAGCTTGACCTGATTTACAGTGCTGTTTAGTTTTATGGTATATTTGTTGTTAATTCACTTCATGAATTGGTTGCATAATCTCCATTATACATCATGAGAGATTGGATACAATACATAGATTAGTCAAAGGTAAACAGAAGAAAAGGCAACAGACAGATATATATTTGTAGAGCTAATATTGTTCATGAGTACTTGAAGATCTATGATATTTAAGCTTTTTCTCCGTTTTGAAGGGTTCGTATTCATGAAATACATAAGTTCATGCACATATCTTCCACCTGCTTTGACATTGAAAGTAATGTTTTCTACAGTCATTTCTAGAGGAAATCATTGGTATTTCAGAATGGTACCCAGGGAACCAGCCCAAGTCTAAAGTTTGAAGTGAAAATTATTTCTGAAGGTTCCTTTTGAAAGATTGAAATAAATACATAGTCCTTGTCTAGTTGTCTTTATAATTCTTGTAACCTTATGGTAGAACTTATGAATAATAATATAGATGATCTTCTACTGTTGCATGGGACCTAAAGTAAATGAACTTACATCTATTGTTCCGGCGTAATCCTTGAACCTATCACGTTGTCCTTGTTAATCATTGCATAGGTGATCATGTTCTGCTACATGTAAATTGTGGTAAACTGACTTAAATTTCCTGGTTGGGCTATTGCCTTTGTGTAGATATAATTTGACCTCTTCTTTGTTTCCTTACAACACTATAGAGAGGTTCTTTTCAACGAAAACAAATTTCTTCCAGACCTTAGCAGATCACTTGCATGATGAAGTTTGTTCAGCAATATGTTAATAGGTACTGTAAGCGTACTAGTTGACCATAGAAATTAGACTATAATGATGGATGGATGTGAGCTCACTTCTCATCAAAGGTCTCTTTAGAACTTGTATCAGTCTTTTCATATCCTACAATACGGATTGCTCAGATATCTCTGCATGGGAATCTTGCATATTCTGTTCGCATCTACTTTTGGACCTATAGCACATGCTCCAACTTAACATGGCAATAATTTTAGTTGCTTTTATCTTCTTTTGTTAGCTTATTATTTCAAAGTCCCTTGAGGCCAGATTATCTAGCTTTTCTATTCATTGCAGCAGATAGTTGTAATGTGGAAGTGAACATAATATATGTCCCAAGCAGATATATCGTGCTTGATTCAACTTAAACCTGCAAATGCTTCTGGTGCTACTAATTGGTTGGCTACCATTTCTAGGGAGGTTCAGCTGATGTTTATATGGTCTAGAAGTATTTAATCATATTTGTACTGTATGATAAACATAATGGAGAAATCTTATTTTTGATTTACCAGGTTCTGGCGGTACAGAAAATAGACTCCTCTTTTTTCCAAGATGGGCAGTGCACAGAATTCACAGAAATTGTTGGCAAAATTTCCAATCTTCACCACCCAAATATAGCTGAAGTTATTGGTTATTGTTCAGAACAGGGACAGAATATGTTAATCTTTGAGTATTTTAGAAATGGTTCACTTTATGAATTCCTTCATGTGTCGGATGACTTCAGTAAACCTCTTACATGGAACACAAGAGTCAGAATTGCTCTAGGGGCCGCCCGTGCTCTTGAGTAAGTCAAACTCTTCGTGTTGTTTCTCTTGCAGTTGGTGATTTCCTTTAATGTTGGTATTGGTAGTGAGTACTATTGGCACAGATTAATTGCATGTCCTTAGTGGTGAGTGACATTACAGTTTCCACTGTAACTGATATTCCATCGAGTACAACATGATTTGAATTATTAAGAAACACTCTAGTCAATGTGGTTCTCCTAATAGATCCTATGACATGATTTTAATTTGTATATAGGTACCTGCATGAGGTTTGTTCTCCATCATGTCTCCACAGGAATATAAGAACTTCAAACATTGTGCTCGATGCTGAATTGAATTCTCGTCTCTGTGAGTGTGGCATGGCAATGTTTCATCAGGTATGTGAAGATAGACCTTTAGATACTGCAAGTATTGTTTCCACCTGAGTTCATACTATTTCTGCAGTTTTGAATGTTATGATTTAGGAACCTGCTAACTTGCAAATGTGACCACTTGAAACAGGAAATGGATAAAGTCATATTCAGAAAAATAAAGTGGGCCGCATGTAACTTGTCAAGTTATATGTTGGATATTTCGAAGTTTTACGAAAACTATTAAGACATATAAAAGTTGAAATCTTGTAACTATTGACATATATAATGTGGATAGTCTTCCATTAAAATGAATACTACTTTGGAAGACTCAAAAATGAAATGTGGATATTGTTGCCTTTTCTTGGCCAAGGACTGATTGAATTTGTTAGCAGCTTCATAATTGGTGTCCATCATTGCTTAGAATGTCACTGGCACAGCTCATTTCCAAATAGAATGTCCATGGTACCAGGTCCTTCTCCAAGTCACATGCCCTCCATTATTTTCTTCATCACGCAGCGGTGAATGGTATTGGTCTATTGGATGGGTAATAGATGCATGATTTGGTATAAATTTGTGTAGTTTGGCATGGCGATCAGGTTCTAGTTTGAGAATAAGTGCCATGTTCTGAAAAACAGGATATGGTGCTATATAAATGAATATGAACATAGAAGATGGTAACAATCCGGGCTAGATAAATAATACTAGTAGTCTGTAAATTCAGTGGTGGAGCTAGCATTGGAAGTACGGGTTCCACAGCCCAGTAACTTTGATCAAAATCCTATATATTTGTTGAGAAATTGACTAGTATGTACATATAATAAATTTCAGATCCGATACTTCAAATATAGAATCCATAAAGTTCAAATCCTAGATCCACCATGAGTTTGCTGAAATGCATACTCCGTTGTTGGTACATAGGGTTAATCTGGATCAGTCCACATTTGCTGATTTATGCTTAAGATATTTCACATGGTGCGTTGGTGTCTAGTAGAGGTACGTCATGCTTAAATAATATTATTCAACCTTCTCCCTTTTTTTCAGCGATCAAGCAAAAACTTGGATGCTGGATACACTGCTCCAGAATGCACAAAACCTTCTGCATATACTTCGAAGAGTGATGTTTATAGCTTCGGAGTTGTCATGTTGGAACTATTGACAGGGCGAAAGCCTTTTGACAGGTGCATCCCCTTGCATGCTAATTTTAATTTGTACAGTTATCCACCAAAATATGAATCTAACATATTCATATCGATGCTTCAGTTCAAAGCCAAGATTAGAACAGTGCCTGGTCGAATGGGCATCGCCACAACTACATGATCTAGATGCCTTAGAGCAAATGGCTGATCCTGCTCTGCGTGGACTTTATCCTCCTAAATCTCTCTCTAGATTTGCCAATGTGACTGCTCTGTGCGTTCAGGTTAGACTTCTTTTGCAGTAATTTTCAAAAATGGAGGGAGTTAACTAATATCTTTCTATCAATAGCCTAAAGAATAACGATTCTTGACTTATTCGTGATTTCTGATGTTATCAGTCGGAGCCAGAATTTCGACCACAAATGTCTGAGGTGGTCCGTTTAGTTCAAAAGTCGAATATGAGCCAGAGAGGTGATGATGATGATTACTGATACTTTCAGGTTCTCGGCAAAAAAAAGAGGGAAGAAGATCTTTTCAGACTTGAGAAGACGTGACTCCCATTTTTTTTCTTACTTCATCTTCTCCTTTAAGAAAATCAAGTGTTAAAAGTTGTATTGGTTTTAACCATCTTATGACCAAGGACCTTTGTTGTCACGTCGATGAGTATTTTGAGTATTGCAAACACTTTCCAGTACTTTGAAGTGTAGTTGAAAGCAATGATCGGTTTGTCATGGCAGAGCACGCCAATAGCAGTCTCTTCTCTTGTGAATTGCCATGCATGTAAGGTTGTAGTGTCGATAACTTCATATTCCCGTTCCATATAATGAGGCAGGATTTGAAGTACAAGGATCAAACTCCTTGATACTCTGTGATTTCAGACACAAAATCTTCATGTTTTTCTGATCTGTGTTTTCTGTGGTGATTCAAGAGGGAGTCTGTATTTTTCTGTTTCGAATTTGAAAAGAAAAATTGAGATGGGATCAAATGCTCTTTTGTGCAATTTTTCAAAAGAAATCATTTTGGGGCAATCAGTTCAAATCTACAAGCTCAAAATTCTACGTATCAAACAGTAGTTGTTAACCACTCATCAAGACAAAACACATGTTAAACGCCTACCATCATCATGTCGTTAGTGAATTTGCAGAAGCTCCCTTGTTCCTTAAGCTAATACTAGAATATTTGCAAACAAGAACCAACTTTGTATCTTTGTTGCCTGGGGAAACAGTCATCTTAGGACTGGGAATATGTTACAGAGATGTGCAAGGAAATCAAAAGGCTACACACAGAATTCACACTTTGCAATAATTCGAACCAATAGAACATATGGGCTACATTATTTACTTTTTACCAGTGGTACTATAATTCTGTTCTTATTGCTTCATTACCTCTTTTCGTCTATCTACAAACCAGGAAATTCATATGCTCCGTGGACTGAGCAAAACACCCTAGTCGCTCTGAACTGTTTCTCTTGAGCCCTTTCTCCTTGGTTGACTCCACAAACATACGCTGATCAGTTGAGAATTCTCAGCAAGCATGTAAAGGCAAAGAAAACAGAGTCCTGCATAAAATTAATCCACACAGAACAGCTTAATTTGACGCAAAGTTGGGAATGAAAATCAACCTTGTACCCCGATAATATAAGTAGAGGAAATAGGAGAAGAAATGACTCACCGGCATAGGCAACAGTAACACCTGATGCTATCCTTCCCAAAACTGATAGCACATAAAGAGTAACCACAACCTGGCAATGTAGTAGGATGATTTTAATAACGTTCTCCAATCCATTTTTCAGTTACATCAAATTAGTATTTGAGTTTCTGTATGGAGCTTCCTTTTTGTATTAATTATCTGAAATGTAGGGCACGTAGAAGCTCAGATACTGTGTTCGGCCGAGCCAAATAACTTTTGCTATAATAGTATTGAAACACATATTAAGCTACCATTCGGCCATCAGAAAACATTAACATTGTTTGTTCATGAAATTTAGTCAAGTTTGAAAATTTACACAATGAGACCTGGAAAGGATATTGTGTACACGGACCTTTCTACTACAACCCTTGGCTCAGTTTCTTAAAAAATTTCTTCAAAAGAATTTACCAGTTTTTGGTGAAATTTCACTTCCATGACAAAACCTCAAAAAAATCCAAGTAAAATGCAAGTCCAATCACAATATTAAGTTCCAAAAAACAATTTTTCTACACAATTTCATTCAAGTTTTTATCACTTTCCGATGAATCGAATAACAGAGTAGATAGTACAAGTTGGTTAGTACCTTAACGAACAAGCGCTTATCATGTCCGGTAGCAGAAACGCGGAGAACAGACTCAGCAGCGCCGATAGTATTAGCAATGCAGGCAAGGACGCGATTTGCAGTGTTCTGTGAGATCTGCCATTCTAGTGGATCCACAGGAACCGAAATGTTCATCTGGCGATACAGGAGTCCGAGAATGGCGAGGGAGCAAATGATTACAATAAAGACGTCAGAGACGAGAGAGACGATACTGGCATTCCGATAAACACAGTGGTAGTAAACGAGAGTGCCGCAGATGATGAGTATGAAGGGTACGGGACCACGCAAATCCTTCTTCCTCCTAGGGTTTATTGTCCTTCGAATCTCCTCATTAGCGTTCAATTTTTCCATGGTGCAGGTACTTTTTTGGTCTCTAATGCCTCAATTACAGTGGCGCTAGATATGGACGGGGGATTTATCGGTGAGTCAATTCCGAACGCTGCGTCGTCTTCTCTAAGTTCTTCAAAATCTGCTGGCTTAATTGAGATTATTATTGACATATTTTATTCCAAATGTTGTATTCAAAGAGAAGCTTCTGAAGAAAACTGTCCATGTCCATTTCATAACAGTTTCCAACAAAAATATTTCAAACAAATTGAAACGGAGCAAACATTTTGAAAGCCAACAAGAGATTCGTGGAAAATACTCGGGAGGGAACATTTTTCTTTTTCTATTGTCAATGCTCAATGCTTGTTTTCTTTTCTCCAGATCTAAAACTATTTTAGTTGACTTGTCTAGGGATTATGATACTTTTATATAAAAAAAATTATATTATATAGTTGCCTACTAAAATAATAGAGGAGAAATATATATGTTTTGTTATAAAACGTACATTTAATTTTTTTTTAACTTTTGGTTAGTAGTTTTAATTATTTGACCGAGCGATCAAATGTGCGAAGAGCCCTTTTTATACTCCTGCTAACCCTCTACGAAATGATGTTAACAGCTTATAATTAGGACTTTTTTTCATTATTGTTTTTATTCAAGCCAAATAAATCTTTTATTAATTAGGCAGCGTGTTCAAATGAAAATGAAAACGTGAAAGTCTTAAATATGTGATGTTTTTATAGCTATAAGTTTATGTAATTAAGGATAAAGTAATTCCAAAAAAGAGAAATATATCTTTTTTTAAAAAGATGTCTCGTAAATTGAAACGGAGGAAGTAGTAGATCCAGGTCACAGTAAAAAATAGGAAAGTCCAGAATTGTTTGGTGACACATTTCTAATGAGGGCGGTGTATAGACATGGGTCTCGAAAATTACCTAATTATTTTTTATCTCCAACTAAATTACCTCATCGTTGATCACTAGTTCACACTCCATGATCATCTAATGGATGTTTGCGACTCCGTAAACCAATAAAAACCTAAAAGAACTTCCTATTGTTTGCTAGTTTTGGGTCTAAAAAGCAATGGCAAAAATTATGAAAAGGCAAGCATCATGCCTTGTCCCCACTTCTATGAGGCTTAATAAAACCATCGGGAACGCATTGCTAAATAAAACTCAAGTCTTTTCAACTAAAAAAACCACCACTGTCAAACAGTTGATAAAAGAATATCCACCCTATTATACAGCCAGTACAGAAGGTAAAAAGAGGATATTGGTTTTCTAGAAAGTCAAGAGTTTTGATTTGCCTGCTAACCAGGAAATAAGATGAGAGAGGGGTCTCTCTGCAGCTTGCCGTCCGTTACATCTAGCTTCTTCATCTTTTCTTCGCACCAAAATAACTGCTCCTTACTGATTCTTTCCATTCTTAGGACCCTATTCATGACCTTTACATCAATAAGGCCAAGCAACAGGTCGACATCTGCTGCCATGCTAGGCCATGATTTCTTCTTCAGGTTCTTTGTTTTCTTCCGTAGTTCCTTCAGTTTCACCTTTTTCTGCATTAGAAAGACTCAGAAGTTATCCCAAAGAAGACCAACAGCAACATCCAAACTTCTGTCTCAAAGTAGGCATTGCTTGACTATCTTACAAGTTACAAGCCAAAGCAAAATGGAGATAGCAAGAGCTTTGCTTGAATTACTATTTTTTTTTATGACAAGGGAAACCCGCAACCGCTACCCTTTGGGTGCGCACAGGGTAAAACCCCGCTCCTATTGCAA